GAATCCCAATTTGAAACCTGGATTGATAGAGCAAATGTTTTTTTTTAGGCTCTTTCTGCTTCTGCGAGAGGTGGCCGGGTGCCTGCTCGGGGGGGTCGCCCGGCAGGGCGCCATTCCGGGCACAGTGGGCTATCCCGGGCGCCCGGGCTGGAAAGCTAGGTACCAACTGAACTAGTCCCATTGGTGTTACGAGCATTTCTTGTTCTAGTACATACCATCATAGAGAACTGGCCGCTGACAGACTGTTTTACTCAGCTTTAACGACTCGTCAGGAGGCTGAATATATCTTCATATCAAGAACTACTTAGATTAAGGGTGAGATGGATATGCCTACGTTCTCCTGAATGTTTTCCCCACAGAGAAAAAGAGCGAACCTGTGGCTCGGACGTGAACTAAAGGAAGCGGTTATCAGTTATTGAATACTCTCGCGATCAGGATCAGGGGACAGGTGGGACACGTCAGACTGGACATCACACTGGAAACATCAGACAGGACATGTTAGCCAGGACAGCAGAGTGGACACGTCAGACAGCACATCAGACTGGACATGTCATACACAGGACATCAGACTTGTCACGTCAGACACAGGACATCGGACTTGTCATGTCACAACATCACATAGGTTTGCTTCGTGGCTACAATGTGGCTGTCTGTGTATCATCATTACTCTTTTGACCCCTCTAACACGAGTTTTAAAAAGCGCACGAGTGTGCAAGTACGATGCAACGATGTCAGATGTGCATTCTCCGCATGCATTGTGTGGTCATCAACTGACCATTGATGACCATCACTTGTCTGACTATAAACTTGTCATGCACCCTCCCTTCGCTCGCTACCAGGCAATACTTTCCGTCCAGCAATATTTCCCATCCAGCAATGTTGCTGCTGCTGCTGCTGCTGCTGCTGATGCTGATGATGATGATCTTATCCTCTGGCCAAATGTACTGCACTCGTCGTCATCATCATCATCATCGATAAAAGATTTATTGTAGGCAGTACTAGGCACGACTTTGTTGTAGCAGTGGTCAAGCCGAAAAAAATGGGTCTCCATAAAACAGTATTAAAATTTAAAACTTGATAAAAGATTTATTATTTAATAAGAGTATTAACTTATTAAGATATTATTTTTGTAACTTTCGTTTGCTCTGCCCACCCTTTCCACAGCTGAAAGGCGTGGGTTTCTTTCGAACGAGGGTGACCATATACTCGACTCGGCGGTCCTATGGGGAGGAGGCTTGGATCTCTTCCCACTGAATGGCCCCCCATTCACCCATCCAGGAAAGCCTCTGGTTTTGAAAGTGACCATTACATCCAGTGAAATCCCTTGCTTGCAAAGTGGCTTCAGCGTTCCCTCTCCACACTGTTGTTGTTATTGGCCGACGGCTGTCTGTTCTCCAGAAGGAAATGCAGCGAACAATTGAGATATTGAGTTCAAAGTTGAAAGTTCGAACAATTGAGATATTGAGTTCAAAGTTTGAACAATTTATATACCCACATAGGAAGGTCTTGACGGAATTCTGAGAGCGCAGAAGCTGTCAGGCCATGGTGTTCAAAGTTGAATGAAACCAAATATTATGTCATAAAAGGTCCCATATACTCTGTGTCGGCCATGGTGTTCTTAGATTTCCGCCGCACAAAAAATGTGGAGACAATGGGAAACGCTCTGCGGGCCATGCTAGTCAGAGATTTTCAGTCCCTGCAAACAACAGCGAAGAAGGAGGTGGCACATAAGAAGCAGAGAGGAAGTGTCAAATATTGTCCATGGTTTTGTGATTCTTCCCGCTGCACTTATTCTGTCCAGGCTCGGTCATAAGCGGAACTGGCTAGTGCTGCCAGGATAAGTCCGCGTGGAATTGCGAGGTTCCCCACCTCACATTTCAATACATTAATAAAATGCTTATTAAAAAAAAAAAAGGCAAAAAAGAAAAAAAGAAAAAGGAAAGAGGTCACAAATTCTCACAATACATGCTATTCTGACATTCTGAGGCTTCCACGCTATCAGGAAACGCGGCCAGCGTGACCGGATGCGAAGTATCCGATCTATCTATTGCTGTAGCCCTCCAGAGGCCTGTACAGCAAGACGATACCAGAGTAACCAAACCTACCCCACCCACGCAGCAGAATGCTACACATATGTAGCAGATGGTTAGGCTAACTGATTTGTATCACTGATAGCAGATGGTTTGTATCACTGATAGCAGATGGCTATAAGGGGCTATCACTGATTACTGATTACAAACTAGTAAAGAAAGAAAAGCAGCAGTGTACAAAAGCGGACAGAAAAGAGACCCAATTAAATTGTTTAGCAGCGGCCATGACCAGATGCGAAGTATCTGGTGTGATTCTCTGACTGCCACCTCCAGAGTTCAGACTGAAAAATCTTCAATTGCAAAAGGAGGACACCATGTCCTCCATAGCTCACAGCAGCAAAAAAAAAAAAAAAAAAAAAAAAAAGAGACTGCCACCTCCAGAGTTTAGACTGAAAAATCTTCAATTGCAAAAGGACACCATGTCCTCCATAGCTCAAAAAAAAAAGATCCGCCGATTGAGAATATATGGAAAAAAGAAGCAAAAACGATCCAACATCTTTGTTAAGACATAATTGAAATGCCTGACAATTCACTCGTCTTTCTTTCCATGAAGATATATTGTGTCCTATCCGCTTTGATAAAATATAGGCCAATGAACTTGAGTAAGGTCAACCAAGCTCATCGTATAGGCCAATATATTCTGTCTCTCTCCTACTTGTCTGCTCCAATTCTACTGTGACTGGGATTTTCCTTCACCTGCAATAAGCTAAACCAAATTTGAAATTTCCTCTTCCATTTGGTAACCACCTCCATCTCTCATGTGCAAATTTCGTCTTCTGCTTCTCTCTCTCTCTCTCTCTCTCTCTCTCTCTCTCTCTCTCTCTCTCTCTCTCTCTCTCTCTCTCTCTCTCTCTCTCTCTCTCTGTTGTCATATTTGCTATACACTCAAAAAAAGCATGACTGTACCGAACAGACTGTTTCGTCGGACTTTCACCGACTCATCAGGAGGTTGAACCTGGACAGACAGTCTGCCCAGGATGCATTTGACTGATGGATAAGGACTCGCCACATCGCCCAGAGTTAGCGACACCCATCCCTGAGAGCGAAAAGTGGTCCCCACTTTACTCACACCAACCTAAGGCTTGCAATCCTAGCAGGTCTGAACCTGGTCCAAACCCCTGACAAGAACGGTAGTAAGTCTGAGAAACTAATCTCACACTGTCATAAAACCCACTCTACACACCCACTCAGCCATGGACACCCAATGGCGGTGTGTGTGTGTGTGTGTGTGTGTGTGTGTGTGTGTGTGTGTGTGCGTGTTTGTGTGTGTGGGTGTGTGTTTTGGATTCGCCTTTGCCCTCCAACGATCATTGTTTTTCCAATAAGTTGCTTTTTTCAGTTTCGATTTATCTACTCTTTCATAATAGATTATACACAAGATTAGCCAGCGCAGCTCCGCCGCGGCCAAAAGGATCATGCGAAGCAATTTCATTCAGTGGATATGAGAGGTGAGAGCAGGTGACACCAGAGAGTAGATGAGCCTAGAGATTGCAGTACAGCGAGAGACGAGGAGAGCCAGCAGAGAGTACAGTGGAATACAGAGTAGAGCAGAACACAGAGAAATAGAGAGTAGAGCAGATGGCGTCGAGCAGAGGGTGGTGAGTAGTGTAGAGGTAGATGTAGAATATAGAGCACATTGCAGGTCACACGGCAGACAGAACTGTCGAGTTGAACTGGAACTCCGGATCAGCATTGCTTACACAACAGGCTCGTGACACGCC